TTGTCGTGTACTTTCAGTGCAGCTGCTTGATTTACACTGGTGCTCTTATTAAAACAGAACCCGATAGCATAATTGCTAAATGAATGCAGCCCAGCTGATATGCGATGCCAAATAGAAGGGTGGAGAGTGGATGATGAACATTTAAAGCATTGTACGCAGGGCGTGGTTTGGGTGTTTGTCATTGCACACTCCTGGTTTTTATTTTGCCTAAGTAAGCTCATGTCTACAGGTTGGTGAACATGCTAAAAATAATTGCCAGATGGGCTCATTGGAAGCACATTGTGAAGCATGTAGAATTTATGCTGAATTGGTTTGGTTGTGACTAAAGAGTTAAAACCAGACACATTCAAATTAGAAATAAGGCACACATTTTTTAAAAGGGTGATGAACCACTGGGACAAACTACCAAGGGAAGAGATTCTCCAACTCTTGAAGTCTTCAAATAAAGACTGGATGCCTTTCTGGAAGACATGCTTTAGTTAAACATGTATTATTGGGCTCAATAAAGGGGTAACTGCATGCAAATCTAAAGCCTGGCCACTTGTACAACACAGGCCAAATAATCAAATGGACCTTTCTGGCCTTAAAGTTTATGTATCTATGAAAAGAAAAATCACATTTTGACCAAGTCAGTTCAGCTTTCTACTATTTAATATATATTTTATATGTTTTGGATTTACAGTCTCCAAAATGTGCTTGCAATGGCTCCATTTAACAATGACAGTTCAACTACCTGCTTTCCATACAGCAGCAGGACACTTGGGTTGCACAGCTGTAGCTGGGGATAGAGGCTGGCTCATAGTTTATATTTTAGGACCATACATCCAGGTGGGTCTGGGTATCACACTGAAATCTGTGAAACATGTGTAGCTTAACACACACAGGTATATAAGGTATATATGACATATGTTATACTATACGTACAGTATTTATCACGTTCTGTACATGCCTTGGTTATACATCCCACTGGATTGGGCCAATGGAGACACAAAGGATTTGTGTCTCAAACAACTCTTCTACTTTAGCAGTAGTTCACTCTTCTTTATTGTTAATACAAGCATAACAACCACGGTTGGCATCAGAACAGCATGATCAAAGGAAGCTGCAGCACCACACCCTGAGAAAGGAGAATTAAATGTTTTCACATTCAACCTTCCTGACCATCCATACTTTTGCATTCTTATAGATTTTTTTCTACTGTCACTTGTGCTGCAGGTGCCTCGTGGCTTATGAAAACGGAGTGATGTGGCTCTCAAATGCACGTGACATCAAGTTGGTGTTCTGTTTCCTATAAGTACTGTGGGTCATATCCTACTTTTAGTTACCCCATGAAATCTCATTAAAGTCAATGGGGAAACCTTGTCCCTATTGTGGTTAAGGGCAGTTTTTGCCACTGACTGAATTGAGGCCAGGATTTCACCCATTGGGAGCAATGGATGGTAAATTGGTTATGAATCTGTACATTTCAAAGGACATTAAGATTGTGTTTGTGTATTTGTATACACAGGAGAGGACAACACTGCAGTGGAGACCAGACCAGTAGAACAGGGGGGTGTAACTACTTTAAATGGGCTCATTACATGTGTTTTTATTCTTTTTAAACGTTTAACCAGGAGTGTTTCAGTTGTTGGGAAATAGCTGATATCTCTAGTGCTTGACAGACATTATTTATTATTATGAGTGAAGGCTCACTAGTAGAGATGGACACACCTCATAGCCTTGGAGGCTTTATGAACTTTGCAAACTACAGATGTGATTTTCAGGGCTTGCAAAATTGGTTCACATTCACAAACATTTCCCCCTATAATTTAAAAACATACTGCCAAGGGTGCTTCTAGTAAAAAACAAACAAGCCAAGAACAATAAAAAAAACTTTTTCTAGCAAAAGGCAATCCTGTGCTCAGGAGCGCCGCCAGCTTTTTTGCCGCCCTAGGCGGCGGAAGGTCCCGCCCTCAAAATGCCGCCCCTGACAGAGGCGTCGGAAGGTCCCGCCCCCGAAATACCGACGACGACCGGGGCGGCCGAAGATCCGGCCGCCGCGGTTGCCGCCCCCCAAATATTAGTGCCCTAGGCGACCGCCTAGGTCGCCTAATGGGTTGCACCGGCCCTGCCAGTGCTAGATATTAGAAGATAGAAGAATTTTCCATAAGCTAGTCTGGCACAAGTGGATGGTCTCTATAAGGTATATAATTCTCAGTACAAATGTCAAAAATGACCTCTGTGTGTCTCAAAAGCTTGTCTCTCTCATCAACAGAAGTTGGTCCAATAAAAGATATTATCTCACCCACCTTTTCGCTCTAATATCCTGGGACTGACACAGCTACAACAACACTGCGTATAACAACGTTCCTTGTGCTCAACCGTTCCGTGGCCAGAGAGAGGACTTTAAGCCCCAGGACTGTCATTTGGGGACTTTTCATGACCATTAATTTCCTTGGAAAATAAAAAATATAGCATTTCTGAGGGGTTGTGTTTAAAGATAATTGTTTTGCATTTTGATTATGAACTGAACTGGGTAAGTAATTCAGTTTTTTTAGAAAGCTGCTACCATTGGCACTGAGGGGAAGGTTTCCAGTTGAGAGCATGTGGGCTAAGCAATCATAGGGGTAACTTCATGCCAAAAGTAGATTTGAGAAAGGAAAGCATCTTCCTCTAGTACTTGCAAAACATGATGAGCACCATACTCTAATTCATCCTACATTGCAATGAAAGCAGACACCTTTCTCTGCTGAAGTTGGCATCAGGAAGGCCCAACTATTTTCTTCTATCTGAAGCTGACCAGGTCCTTTGGCTAAAACAGGAATTTGCTTGGTTATTTAATACAGATACATTTTTGGAAGAGAGTTATGCACAACCTTTGTTGAAAGATACAGAAAAGAAAGAATAGAAAGAGAGACTATTAAGACACCATGTGATTTGAACTAGTGCTGACTTTACAGTTATTATAAGGTTACAGTCTGGCTTACACGTTTTCTTTTTGTGGACCAGTGCACTGAGAGCTTAAGTCTGGTGTTCGTTCAACCCAGGTTCTAGAAAACTCATATTTTTAACAGCTGCAGTATTAACAAGAGAATCAAATCAACCACAGCGCATAGCTTCATTGACAACCTTGATGCTCTGTGTGGAAATTGTTCTGCTGAGGTGCAGAGATTCCCTGAAATGCTTTGCCCTTTGGCTGCTGCTGAGGTTAGAGGCAAAGAAGAGAATAAGGGTCTAGGCGTATGTCTACATGTATAGCGCTGCAGCGGCGTAGCTGTATCAGTGCAGTTGCGCCGTTACAGCGTGTCTGGTGAAGACGCTCTATGCTGATGGGGGAGAGCTCTCCCGTCAGCATAATAAAACCACCTCCACGAATGGCAGAAGCTGTGTCGGCGACAGAAGCTCTCCAGCCTACATAGCGCTGTGCACGCGAGCGCTTATGTCATCGTAATGTATGTCGCTCAGGGGTGTGTTTTATTCACACCCCTGAGAGACATAAGTTATGCCAATGTAAGCTGTAGTGTAGACATAGCCTAAGGTTTTTGTTGTCAGATTTCCATCAAGTTACCCCGTTTAATGTAATGGAGACCATTTAGAACACATAGTCTCTTATTCTACAAATAAAGTTACATGTTTGGGGCATGTTCTGGAGAAGCAGATGCCTATCTCATTATCATCATTAGCTGTAGATGCTCTACTGAACACACACTGTTGGCTATGAATGGATGGATGGTGTGTTAGTGACAAGTTGCCTAAGCCTGTCACAGCCCATTTTATTTTACATACAAGGCAACTATGATGATTTTTCATCAACTGCACAAAACATTCCAGGCAGTGGACCAGATCCCACCTGCACTCCAGCTGCCATGTGCCACTCTGGCACCGCAGTGCAGCTTGACTGTCAGTAGATCTGGTGTCCTCTTGGCTGCCAACATATGGGACATGGCCCGAGCCAGATGTGGGGCAGTTGCTTTTCCACTACAACATGGAAAAATTTCCAGTGTCATTGAAACTAGTGGAGGGAAAATCCGTTTGCACCACTTTTACAAAAAATCAAATGGTTTAGTGGTAGGGCACATTGATGAAAATAGAAAGATGGCAAGGTAAATGTCCCTTGCATTTGCTCATGCAATAATAGTACTTTCAATGGAGGATGCCAGCTCGCAATGCTGCTAATTAGACATTTCTCATAAACTCTATAATTGACTTTAACATAATAATTCAAGTCCTCAGATTACATAGATATTGTTAGTCATAGTAATGTACTTAGGTTGTCTGTTATACTAGTACGTTCATTTGTTATGTACATGCTTGTGTCTACAGCGTGTATTGAGTGAAGACAAATATATTACATGCAAACATTTATGTTAATGTTAACTACTTTAAACACCTGAGGTGAGATCCTGTCCCTTGATTTCAGTGAGCCGGGCTTCCACTCCTAAAGTCAGGAAATACAAAGGTTATAGATTGCCTACTGAGTTAAATCCTACTCACCTTGCACATGTGAGTCCTACTGATTTAAATAAATAAATGAGAAAATCAAGCAGTATTTGTCCCTATGTGTAATAAAACATTAGGCTGTACTGTGTATAGTTGATATTTGGTAAGTATCACAAATATCACTGACATCAAACTTTCATGATGATCTTATTTTACTATTAGAAGAAACCCTGTATTTTACTTTATTGTACACTATTTCCTGAACTTGGGTGCTTTACCCTGCAACCCCCTAGTAGTATTAAACATAACACTCACAAAGGCCTTCATATCCACTGCACTGGGAATGTATATCATTTTCACAGGCTGGTTCTCTAGATTTAAGGTCCAGTCCAATTTCTATTGAGGTCAGTGAGAATTGAATTGGCCATAAATGACATTCTCAGGATATCCACTGCTGCTATGTATCTTAAGTTTCTTTCACTAATGTTTTATGGCTCTTTCAGAATCAATGCAACCTTGATAAAAAGCATAAGAAGTAGATTGAGTTTCACACTGTCTTAAAATGAAATTGAAAAACAGCCTTTGGCATTTTTAAATATATTTTATTACTTATTTTTCCATTTGTTTTTAGAAAGAAATATGAAATCTGCATGCAACTTTCTAAATATTTCAAACATTTAAATAGCATATGATAATTTAGCAGTACAATACATTATACAGAAAGATAATATAGGGAGACTCCCTGTAGTATATTTACACGTGAAAAGGTAGTTTTGTTATTTTATTTTTAAAAAGAGGAATGCACTGCTTAATATTTAAGTATTACATTCAAAATAATGAATATGTTGCTGTGTGACTAAAACATATATATTTATTTTATATGTTTGCCCTCTCCGGTTTTTCATAAAAAGGTACCTTTCAAAGATTTTTTGCTACAAATCTCCAAAATCATATACAATATTCTTGAAAATTAAAATATCTGAAAACTGATGAAGCTGCAAACTTTTCACAAGAACCTCAGGTGAAAATAGATCAAACACATTCTTAGTAATAAAACTGCTCTAGAAATGTTTTCTAGTGTATGTAAAACATTAAGTGGGGGTATGTAATACGTTTCACCTTTCAGCAAGACCCTGTTTCATTAAAGAACAGATACAAAGTGATGTTCGTAGCCATTTGACAAGCCACTAAGGAACCTCATCTCTGCAGCTATATATGCCACTACACTTCAGTGGCATGTTACACAGCAAGCTCTTCCTCAGTCCCTACATTGTGCAGCTTCCACCATAGTTGGACAACGTTACTAGAAACCCTAAGCACACCACTGAAGCTTTCCCAGTACAAAAGGATAAGGGACACCATTATATAATACCGCTACAAATATTGTTTGTCTAATGAGCTTATAAAGCTCGATTGTAATCATAGTGATGTATGAATGAATACAAAAAAAGCATTTATTTAAAATGAAAAGCATGAGTTTTCACAATCTCAGTATAAAGCAGACAGGTATGAAATTTGAAGTGTGCAAGAGACAAATCTGGGAGCCTTCCGCACACAGCTATAAAATGTAAAAACTGACCCTTGGTAAAAAGTGCTTTATAATAATATAGAATTTGTGTCTTATGTCTGTGAGAGAGAAATATTCTTTGCAGAGTCCATTCCTTAAGTCAGCCAAACAAATTCCGTTCCTTTTACCAAGAGTTTTCCTCTTATTCTTCATAAACCCTGGGAAATAAAAACAGAAAACTAGGTATTTAAGTCATTTTGATTACAGTTAAAACCTTCCCCACCACCCTGGTGATTAAACACTCGGAGCCAAATTCTGCACTCATTTACATCGGTGGAAATCAGGAGGAATGTCACTAACTTCAGCAGAGTCAGTTGTATTGGCACAAGTGAAAGCAGAATTTTCCACCCTTCTTCCTTTCTTGAATGCACGGAGAGTGGTCAAATCTACCACTGAAAGGATTATTAGGACATTTAAAATGAGGGACTCCACATCCAACAACATGTTTTTTGCTCCGGGAAAAGTACAAGCAAATATGTGAAAATATGTTGCTAGTTTAAATATTTAAAAGAAGAATTACTTAACTTTCCCTCTGTAATATTGCTGAAATATTCCAGGCATGCAGTCTCCACTGATTAAAACAATCTACAGTGGCATGATTATAATTGGCCCCAGAGATATTTTGGGAAAGCAGGAATTCATTTTTACACTACATTTGACTTTAAAAACCACTGACGCCTCATGAAAAAACATTCTGTGGGCTTAGTCCAGCTCCCACGGAAGTCATTAGCAAAACCCTCTTTGACTTTGATGGCAATGGGATTGGGTTCAAAACATCACATATTTTGTCTCTTCCCTAAATTTTTATTACAATCAGGCTCTTGGTTTCTGAGAAGTTCGTCTGCTCCTGCTTCTTCTCTCTAGGACTCCTGCAGTTAGGCTCACTTAACCCTGCTGCTGCTGGTAGCTGCAGTTTACATCTACCTCATCCTCAGATGATCCCCAGGCAAGCGTTGTAGACCACTAGGGCTTGTGGAAAATTTTACCATCAAAACGGTTTTTGGATGGAAACGTATGTTTTCATCGCAATGACTTTTTTTTTTTTTTTTTGTAAAAGGTGTCTGCTTTCTGTGGAAAATTTCATTTTTTGTCAAAATATTTCAGCTAAAATCCAAAAGTTTTCAGCCAACTCTTTTGGTTTTTGGCCAAAATCTTTTGAGTTTTGACTACTTTGGCTGAAAATGTGGAAAATTTGGGCAAAAAGATTTTTTTTTTATTTTCTTCAAAAATTTCCTTGGGGGGGAACAGGGCAGGAGGAAGAATTCAGAGCCGCTCTAAACACCACTACTCTCCGGAGATTCTCCTGGAGTTGATTCTCTAAGTTGTGTTGAGTTTCAGTGCACTCTGTGTCCAGCCTAGCAATGCTCCCCTCTTGTTGCCCACTTCCAGGGTTGTGCAGCCAACAACCATCCACTTGGAGGGCAGAGGAATTACAGGAACCTTTAGCCAGCCCAGCGTCCTTCCTGATAGATCTGCAGCCACTGGGGACATGTGCCCTGATAGTGTATCCCAGGGCTAAATCTAGCCCCTCCTTCCCTGCTCGTGACATCATCATGATTTCAAAAACAACTGGATGTGCTGTTGCAAAAGCGGAATTGAGACTTCAGGTGGGGAATAAGCCGTAGGAGAAAGTTAACAGGATCGTGCTGTGAGGCTGGAGGCTTAGGCCAACTCTAGGCTATGTATCAACTGAGAGTCAGGAAGGCTTAATGCTGGTGGAACATTATTAAAATTAAGTTGTTAAAATTGCAGTAAAACATGTAGTGCCTGGACTTTCCTAAACACTTGTGAATGGATGACTGTAATGCTCAGATACTTATCTCTGGATTTCTCATGTTAAGAGTAATAACTGTACATGTGCATTACATAACTCTCACATGGCTGGGACAGACCTCGTGATAACAAGAGCCATTAATCATTGCTGAGTTTTGCCCATAGAAATGGCTACATCCCTTAGGGGGCAGAGTGGTCAGTTGACACCCATTGAAAAGCAACATGTTCCAAGGAAACTCCTTGATTCTCAGTACAAGGGATAGGTACAGTTTACAGGACAATAAAGAAGGGGAAACTACCCAGGGATGAGTCACACAGGATGACTTCACCGAAGAATTACCTCATGGACTCCCCGATCACCTTTTGCATCTGCTACCTCTGGGGTCAGAACAATCAGATGTCAGGGTTTTTGGATAAAAGCTGCCTACTGGAAGGACACAGGGCTTTATACTTGATTGGATCCTAAGAAGCAAGGGCTTTGTCTCCCAGGTAAAGGACCTTTAGCTGCCACAGCTGGGATAAGCCTCAGCAGCTGAACTTGTAAGACTGGGTTACTTCAAACAGAAGATTTATAAGACAATAACCTAAGTTTGTCTTTGTCTGTCTGTGTCTTTAGTATTCTTAGCATTGTGCAAATATCTCTTGCTTCATTTTCATTTAATCAATACAGCCTAAATACGTTTATTACAGGGTCGGACTGAGTGTTGCCTCATTGGGTAAAGGAGGGAGATCTAAGGAGGAACGAACTGACCTGTGGTGTGTGTCTGGTCCTTTGAGAACCATGGAACTTGGATGTTCTGTGACATTACAGTGAAAGGGAGCTAATTTCACAGGGGTCCAATTACTTAGTGTCAAGAGGGACTGGGGTTTCCAAGGGGACTGTTTAAGTTCTATACTGAGGCTGGCAAAAGCCTAGAGAGTTAATAAGCAGTGCGATTAGCTGGAGTTAGAGTCACAGCTGTCACTGGAGTAACTTCCCTGTTATAGAACTGTCTGCCCTGAAGTGGAACCCACAGTCTGGAGATACCAAGAGGCATGACACCTACTTCCATGGAGGGGAATAAACTGGAGAACTGACATGCAGCCAGTACAATATAGGCTGGGGAGGACTCTCTCTAAACGGAATATTTCCCCAGGTTTACAGAAGGTGTCAATATGCCATCACTGTAGCCAGAACATGCTGAGCAAATTCCTAGTTCTTTTAAACAGATGAATATGTGTAATTATATCAGATGAGGTACAATTATAACCTACTCCTGCCCCTGAGCTGTATTTTGGGGAGGATGATGCGAGGAAGGGAGAACAGGTTAAATGCGCAGTAGTAAGCACACTTTCTGGAGATTCGTGGCCCATTCATGGGTAACTCCCTGTATATGGAACGATCTACCCTATATTGTGAAGCTTGAAAGACAACAGAGTTAGACAAGTATCGATGCTTTACTAAAATACTGTCCTGTTTGTTAACAAGGGGATGATTATATAAAGCATGTTAATAAGGCACAAGAATATGTCAAAGTTGGCATTAAAAGTCTGACAAACCCACAGACACAAGGAAATTCAAAGATCAGGCTAAGACCCCAAGCAGTGCCTTTATACCCAGGCATCACAGCATGAGTGAGGCCATGTGATACCAGGACCTTTGCCTTGGCAAGCTTAAATCTAATGCGTCTTGTTTTTATCAGTTTAAGGCAGATCGGTAACGTTACTTGAACGTAAGTGTGACGGGTTACCCCCCACCTCTGGGGTACCACATGATGTTTAGCAAATCATAACCTTTCCAAATGATATCTCACATGACTTATTTTGCCCAAAACACATCTTAGTTATGCCATATTCATATCATAACAATATCTCTATGAAGAACACGGGCATAGTGTCACAGTAAGAGTCTGTGGTTTCATTTCCTTTGTTGTTTTAATGGTAGCCTTTACAAACAGTAAGGAAATATGGCGTTACATAATAGTTGACATTTCACAATGCATTCTATTTACTTACCAGCCCACAAACAGCTTATACAGAGCTGGCAGATAGGCAAAAATATCAACATGGAGTGGTGTCCCTTACATACATTAATGCCATGAGCTTTCATCAGCCTGGCTATCCACCCTGCACAGTGGCAAACTTGTCATCCAGGAACAAGACGTTTCCAAAAAAGAATTTGCATTTGCCCTTGGCTCAGTCGAGTGGATTTTTAGGGTAGGGTTAGGGTGATCACAATCTGAGGTCAATACTGAAGTTAACGAGAAAGTTCTCACTGATTAAAATGGAAAAAAGATTTGGCTCTATATTATTGCTACTTTAGAAATCCTTCATCTCTTAACATACGTGCCTGACCCAAAGCACATTGAAGTCAATGAGAGTTTTCCATTCCACACCCTTTACTACACGACTAATTCATTCAGTGTGCTTGAGCTACTGTACATTCCATCTGATGTCCCCAGTCCGGTTCTTTCATTCAGGCTCCAGAGTTGGTCTTTCGCTAGAGATTATGCGATGTGCTTTTCGCAGTTAACATTTATGTAAACATTCCACGGTTCCTTAAACCTTTACATGCTGTTTAGTTTTACATTTTGATTCAGATTTCTCCCATGCTGATTTCATTATATCTTTGATGATACCTTTTCTCCTTTCCTACCCTCTTTTCTAGAAAGACTGTTGAGCATTTCCAGAATGTGAAAGAGAATGTTGCACTGGTAACTGTGGCCCCTCCTGGTGGTTCATGGAGCTTATGATTTGTATTCTGGGACCTGAAGTTTAAAGGTAGAAATGAGAGAAGAGTCCCATCTAGATTTATTAGAAAAATCAGGGGCAAGTCACTTGTCTATTCCTTTGCAATGTCCTTCAACCCTATTCCTTGAAAACCAAGTACCACTAAGATATCCTCAGAGCTGCAAACTTGCAGTGGATCCAGCAAGTGAGATATGGCAGTATATGTTTGTGAAGGAGGAGTGCTTGACATTCTATTGCACCATCACAATAACAGGTGTAGATCTCAAAGGCAAGTGCTGTAAATGGACGTAGCTTGAGTCCCCCATCCACACCACTTGTGTAAATGGGATTTGTGCAAGGGAATTAAGTGGTGATTGGAGAGATGGGATCTAATCCACACCCATGGCCAGTCCCATTCCTAGGGAAGGTAGGAGTGGCCACTGTTGCTCCATAGCCCAGGCCAGGCACTGGATCCAATGTCAGCCTGCATCTGGTGGTTCTTCTACAGTGCTCTATTCCATGCCAGCATATTCAGAGCTCAGACAGATCCAACTTCCCCCAGCCCACAGAGGGTGCAGAGAGCTGCCCACATCTACACATCCCACGTTCTGGGGTGCTGCATGGGTTAAGCAATACTCTACCAATGAGTGAATTTAAACCAGTGTGAGTAATATTTGTGCTCGAGGGTATCGTTACTGGAGCTGGTGGTAAGATCTTTCACTCCTCCAAGGATATCCTTTAAGTTCTGTGTACAGTAAGTCCTCCCTCTGCTACCCTTTTCCTGCCAAAAGAAACGGGGAGACTAGCTACAGGGCGTGAGAGGAAATGAAGCTCTCTTACACTCCCCTGCTTCAGCTCCTCAACTAATAATGAGCTCTAAGAAATCGCTGGACATCCCTACTACGGGAAAGATTATTACAGGGCACCCAACTCCATTTCAAAGCCAATGGGGAAGTGGGTAGCTAGCTCCCCTTTGTTCCTTTAGACTTCCTCTTAATTATTTACAGACAACATAATCCATTTTAAATCTGGTGTTCATTTATGTCTGTGTTTCTTTTCTGTTTGTCACTGATGGCTTAGCTTGTGCAAAGGCCAGGATGGAAGGGGAAAGGTAGCATTGCATCCAGCAATCAAGCCATAGAGAGTTATAGCATGAAATTACAACTTGGTGAAAATGTGCTAAAATCTGGATAATCCAATATAGGGTGGTAGTATTTCCTAGTGCTTAGAACATGGGACCTGAACTCAGGAGACCTGGTTTCTGTTCCCAACTCTGCCACTGACTTTGTGTTTGACCCTAGGCAAGTAACTTAGCCTTTACTTGCCTTGGTTTCCTCATCTCTGATTTGAAGGCGATAAGGTGTAACAAACTTTGAAAACGTCAGATAAAAAGTACTGTGCAAGTGCAAAGTACTACTATTTATTCTCAGAGCAGCCTATCCCATAACTAGGAATAAACTGCATTCAGAGCCATTTATATTATTTGACTATTTACAGATGTAATTTGTAGGCTTTATCAAATAAATTGATCACATTGAATTGATTGTTTAGAGTATGAGAATTTTACTGTAGGCATTTAGATAGTAATCTCAAGACTCTATTAATAGTATCTAATCTTGCACCACATTTTTCACCTTCATGATGCTTAAAAAAAAAATAGACCCAGAAGCAGTTAAACTAATGTGCTATCTGTAGCATTTTATTTAGGAGGATTTTAGCCATTTCAGTCTAATTAGTATTTGTGCCATATTCCAGAGAGAGCCATTTGGACTATTACACCTAACTGTTCTGTGCTGCCATGTCTCAAGCATTCAAGCAAGAAAGGTACGTTATTTGCCAAAAGGAACAAATTTGGTTACCTATAATGACATCACTTTATCCCACAGAAAACAGGAGTATCTTTTGCTGAGTGAAATTAATACTCACCTGCGTTTCTCCTTCCATATTGTGTACCACTTAACTAATCTCTTTGTGCTTTGGAGTTTGGGATGCAAGCAGTACTGCTGTCCTCCTCTGAACCGTGACTGCATAGTTACACTGAAATGGAAAAGGAATGATCACTACAGAAAGATCATGAATAACTCACATTGGTCACTATGAACATTCCATAAAAACCAGCGGGCTCGCTCTTGCTCCAGGTCTTTCATTCACGTTAATGAGAGTTGCACATGTGCACTGAGAGGATAACAAGCCACTATGTTCCATGGTAAAATTTGAGTTTGCAATTATAAAACTGGGCCAGGTGCTCCGCTGGTGTAGCTCCATGGTCACCAATGGAGATAGGCCGATTTACACCAGCTGAGCTGCCCATAATTTTTAATCAAGTTTTACTCCACGCTCTAGCAAACATTTATATTGGGGTTTAATAACTGATTTAAATAAAATGGTCAATTAGGGCCCAGTTCTGCAAACCTTTACTCAGACAAATAATTCAAGCACGTGCAAAAAGTCCCATTGGACAATGCTACTCGGAAGACCAAGGATTAGGTCTGGATCACTGACTTTGTATGCAGTAATGCTTTCATTAGCAGTACTTGTGTGCTTTGCAAGTTTCTGGAGACCCAAAGGGCTAGTCTGTGGTGCAAGGAAGACAGCAGCCACCTGGGACCATCTCTAGCTTTATCAGCATGCTGTCCGATCCATTTAAACTTGCCCATAGCTGCACTGGAGAGGAATCACAAGGACTGATGGCACCTCATCCTGGAAATAAGACCAGGCAAGGAGGTAACACATGGCCAATTTACTTCCTGGACCTTCTGGTTTCCTCCTACTCTGTCCTTTGTTTGAGCGTCAACCATTTAATGCTGGTTAATTAATGGTCTACCATAATCCAGATGATGTCATGATTCCACTGACAAATCAGCAGAGCTGGTCTAGAAACGGGAAAATAACTTAGTAAAACATTTTAAATTTCAAAGTTGCTTTTAGTTCTAAGGGTTCAAAATGGCTCAATTTTCCACCTTTGGCAACTTTTTCGGTTACGTTTTTAGCCACATTTTTTTTATCCAAAATGTTCATTTTCTAGAAACCTGGTTTTTAGTATGGAGCCAGAGTTTTTGGTTAAACTAAAACATTTCAAAAACAATTTAGAAAATTAAGTTGGTAAAAATTTCCATTAAAAACATTCCAGGAAAATGGAAAATTCTGAGAATGTTGAGAATTTTTCACAAAAGTTTCATTTTTGAAAAAGGGGCCAATTTTTGGATGAAAATATCTTTTTTTTTTACATTTTTTTTACTCGCTCTACAAATCAGTAAGGGATACCACAATGCAAAATTCAGACAAAGGACAGAGAGAGCGGGTTGAAACATGTCCTTTTCTTCAGCTCTGGCTACGGGACCGAATTCTTGGTTGGAGCCCCACAGGGCTGGCCCAGGGTGTCAGTATGTCTTTCACTAACTAGTCACAGAATGGGGGCTGAATTCTGGCTTTGCTTGGTTTTGCCCTCAGTAAGAGGCAAACGAATGCTGCAAAAGCACAAGACATCAAATCATTTGTATTGGAAGCATGAACAATAGGAGCGGGAAAAGGTGTTAAGGGTCTGTGTGCGTGTTGAGGGAGGGGAATTAAAGAATTTTTTTCACGTCAAGGTCCCAGAAACAAAGGCAAGGTTTTCATCTCGAGGCCAAAAGACCAAAAACATCAAGACACTTGATCACGGCCTTGGATAGACCAAGAGACTACCTACACTACAACATAGAGACCCTATGCTCTTACCTTGGGCCTCACTAAGATAATTCCTGTGTGGTTCAATCCATAGAGAACATTTTCTCATTGAACTGAATGGGAGAACTGAGACCTGTGGGCAGTGAGTTTTAATGGAATCAAGATTGAGGAATAGTATTTGCGTCCAGTGGTTATTGTCTTGGCAGTGGGATTTGTGTGTGTACAGAATATTTTCAGAAAATGACAAACTAAACCACAGGAGAAGAGGTGCAGGGCCTCTGGAGAACGACGGTGCATAACTCTGCTTCAGAAAAGTAATCAAGGGCAACTTTATTTGCACTAAAGTTTATTACCAACTTATGATAACATTCATGGCATGATTATCTGACTAGTTGGGTTAATAAAGGAGTTTTAAGACTTAGATTCATTGTTTTATAGTAGACGTTCATCTTATCATTTGGAGTGATACCATGTTAACTCTGTGTCTGGGAAAAACAATCCTGAATGCTAGGGTTTCTTTTGAAGGGATATTCCAAAATCCTAATAGATTTTTGGATAAATCCATACAGTTAAATCATACTTTAATGACTGATGCACTCTTTTGCCATTATAGTATATGGGTCATGGGTAACCCAGTTAGCACCTCCTATGACTGCCCATTGGAGGCCAGCCACTAGAGTGGGCTTTGCCATTTAACAGAATTCCTCATCCTGTGGCTGCCCTTGTTCTCTATGTGCATATGATTCCTGCACATTGCCCCAGACGAGTTAACATTGGTGGCAGCTCCCCCAAGTGGGCCAAATGAGAGTTACTCCGTGGGAAAATCTGTACACAGAGAGCTTGGTTAATCTCAGCTGGAAGTCATTCTGCATATTTACAGCATCCGCTTCAAAGACAGTTTTGCAACAAGTCTGATGCTGAGTGGCTTCTGCATATTTGTGTCACTCTGGGATTAGGGGTGTACCCCAGGGGACCAAAGGTAGCTGTATAGTATCTTTGCCGGCCCCTACGATCATGAAGTTGGATGGGGATTGGTCCACTCCCCTAATTTATGCTCATCTGATTATGGCTTTAAGGGGCCATTTGACAGCTAAAAATAGTTAAAGCTCCATTCCTTTCCCCTGGCCATTCTCTCTATGCTGGGGGAAGTAACCAGGTGGCATAGTGCTGCTATGATAACTCAACTCCTTAGATCCAGCCAGCTGAGAGTTCCCCTTGACTATCAGGATCCTGGCTGCTTTGCCCAACTACAAATTGGGGACAAGAGAAGAAGGTCCAAGCCACCACGTAGCCATGTGGTTGAGCTGGGCAACACATTTTAGAATCAGGGCTAGCATGTACAGTTTTTGCATAAAATCATCTGCATATTGTACCAAGCAGTTTGGGGTACGTTGGTCCATCTCTTCTCCTATATACAGCCGTAAAGCTTCTTGTACACAAAGACAATATGTGTTCTAGGAGGTTGCACTGTTTCTATCCGCTTTTTAAATAGAATAAAGAAACTCTTATCTCTGTTGGCAGTTTCCATTAACACCAATAAGAGTTCTTAAGTCTTTGAGCAATATATAGCATATATTCTCTCTCTCTCTCTCTGTGTGTGTGTGTATATATATATATATATCCAAATGTTTGTGAGTGATAGGAACTGGATGGAATATAAATCAGTGTAGAATTTTGTTCACTATGTTTTTAATAATAGGGTGATCTGGCTGCCATGAAATTAAAGGAGAGTTTTGCCTTCTGTCAATGAATTAAACCCTCTTCTCACAAATATTTAGCTGAATTCATTTTCAGGCTCTCTACACTTTCACTACTTCATCTCCATTGGTGGTAGCAATGGTAAAAGTGGCAGTGTAGACCAGCTGCTTGGGTATTGGCCACCATGCTGGCTAACCCTGCTCAGAGGAGGTCTAGACAACACCAAGGGGTCAGAGATTTGCTGTCTTTCACAAACTTTTCCAGTTCTACCTATGTATTTTATGTCATTAGATGAATCTCTTCCAAACAATATATTCCAGTATCCTCCGGTCTGCCAATCACCCTACAGTTTACACACTTCTTCCATGTAAATAGACCAGAGAACGGTCAGGCTTATGGGGAGCGTTGGAGGAGAATCAAGATCATTCACTGATTTTATTTCCTCAACAACAGCCACAAAAATCCATTACAGGAACCTGGCTTTTCTGCATCTTGTACTGAAACTATGGTATCAATCACTTCTGGTCACAGCTCCCTCCAGTTGTTCCAATATCCCCCACTTCTCCCTAGTACTGATTTCAAGTGACACTGAAGTAGATAAGAGTCACTCCCTACAAAAGCACTAATGACAACATGTCTGCCTTCTCCTCCTCTTACACTGGTGTAAATCAGGAGTAATTCCACTGAAGTCTTAAATTCTCTCTCCACAGAATAGGAATGGCCGGCTTGTTACAGCACTTGGGTGCAAAACTGGAGTAAGGCAAGGTAATAGAGGTTCTCCAAATTTGCACGGCTATACTCAAGATCAGAGCCTCGTTTGAAAGCTAATTCTTTTGCCAAGGCGTTTTAGCAAAAGCTGAAGTATTTTATATGTTTTCCTGACATTCTTATTGCAAGTGAGAATTTGCAGTAATGAGGTTCATTTCATGCTCACGATTTCCCCTTCTCCCCTTGGCTGCCAAGTCGGGCCCTGCTTCCAGTGCTTTGGAGCAGTCGTCTCTCACAGACTTATCCCAGCAAAGCTTGTTATTGTTTTCTTGACAGCGCTTCACCATCCAGCTTCTGCTGGCATCTTGCTTGGGGAGAGCAGATTGCGGCTTGCCTTTCCAGCAGCCAATCAAACTCCCAGGCACAGACTGAAGGCTCTAGCAGCACAGAGCGGTGTAGCAAATTCTCCACTTGCTTCTATGCTGATGCATGTTTCAGCTCCTTTTGTTAGCCCAGGTGATTGACATAAAATAGAAATGACTGTTTGCACCCACTGGCTGGGAAAGAGGGCCCCGCTCCTGAGCGGAGGATTTCTGGATTCTAAATATTATTACCACTTTGCCAAAGATGCCTTTCTCTCGGACAATTCAAAGTGTTGTTTATTTAAGCCCCTGCGAGAGTTCAAAGGGTCATTGATTCAAAACGTTTGCTTGACATGTTCATTTCAAATGACTAATTTGGAACCTGAGAGTTGACTTTGCCCCGGGCAGCATGCCTCACTTTTACAATTTAAATATTTTTAAAAAATTACTCAAGCATCGATCATCTAAATATAAATGATATGTCCTGGGCTGCGTTAGCTAAATCCTGCCTTAGCTAGATGAGTGCAGCTTCCAAATACTGCTTTCGGTTACACTGCTTGTAAATCTGGGGGAGCTGCTTTGAAATCAGTGGGTTCAATTCTTCCCTTATTGAATGGGGAGTTTGGCCATTCACTTCAAAGCAGGCAGGATTGGGCCCAACCAGAGTAACTAAAAAAAGAATTTGACCCAGAGTTTACATTGGTGTAACTGAGAACAGTCTGTGTTTTGAAGAGATATAAATCTATTGCACCATGATATATTAAAGCATCTTTCTAAGTTTCAGTAAATTTGGTAAAATTAACTGGTAAGGAACAAATGCTACAAGATATTCAATGCCTAACCTTTTTGGTGAAGATCTGACAAGCAGCTAATAAGAACAGATAACATTTTTTATTAAAGCTAATGTTAAAAAATTATATAATACCTAGGTTGAGAAAAGAGTGTCTGTACATCTGGGTATAGGAGGACATTCTTCTGTCCTTGCAGAGCGATGGGGTCAATAGCAGAATAAGTATTTTCAGCTATTCTGACCCTATGGTTCTTATGCAGGCACATAGCCTGGTTTGTGTTTTGTGCAAAGCCTTTCAAAAACTTTTACGATATACAAGACAGGATTCATTAACACCCCGCTCCCATCCCATTGTTTTAAACTGTAATATACCCCACTGATCTAATCTTTAGAGCTTCTTTTGATTTTAGGTTATCAATTGTTTCTATTGAGGTTTCATTTCAGCATTGGTCAATGCATGGCTATTTGCTAATACAGATAGTGGCATTTTTCTTACAAAATTCTACTTTCAGTTACAATCCACGCAACCCTACTGAAATCAAGGGACTTGTATTAGTGTAACTGAGACAAAAATTTGCCCCAATGAATTTGGATGATTCTTCATTACTTGAAACTTTCGTGACCCAAATTCCGTTCTCATTTGTTACTCCTCATGTAAACCCACAGTAGCCTGAGTTTAGCATTCTGGATTCACATCTGGGCAGCTGAAAGTAGAATTTGACTCTCATCATTTGTTAAACTAATAATTACTCTCATAAGCAATATTCTTTAGATATTTATAGTATTACGCAGATTCTATTGTACTAACATACTACAGATAGGCTTGGTTCATGTAGGTACATATTTTATTATGGCTAACATTGGAAATTAGTATATCAGGAAATTCTAAAAAACAAAGAAGGAGGTTGCAATACAGGGAGATGCACTTCACTTGGTACATAGTAGAAAGCATACAGGAACACTTACATGATCATTTTTTCCTTACAATGTGGATACTTTGGTTTGATTTCCAGCTTCTGAACAGCAGAGAATCTTATCTTAGGACCCTTTCTTGAGCATTTGCACTTTGATCCTACAAGGGAAAGTATTTACCATTTGTGTACAAAGTTACTGTGTACCAATTGCAGTTAATTTCCCCCCTCATCATTAGCTTATGTAAATATACAGACTAGTCATGTTTTAAAAACCTATAAACATTTACACTTTGGGGGGTTGTTGAGCTGAAAAGGGCAATATTTTCCTCCTGATTTACCACAGAAAAGTTTTAATAACTCCCTGAGAAAGACATGTTAAAGTACTGGAACTGTTGTGGTAAATATACCCAGTACAGCAGTGTGGTCAGTGTTGATTTTTTAAAGTGCACCTGCTGTGATTAAACTAAGCTTTAAGAAATGCAAAAGGAAAGAGCTAAAGTCTGTCGTAAAGATGAACAAGCTTACACGGCTCTCGGTTTTTGTCTCCACTCTACTTTCACAAGTAGAACTTGGGGGGTGGGGGAGGGGGACGACTCTAAATTGTGCTTCTGAATTTCTTACTTGCACAAATTCTAAAGGTCTCTCCCAAGCCTGACAAAATCCGAGTTTTGTAACTGTCATTTTCGTGGAAAACTAGAAAACATCTTTGTCGGAATTTCACCCTCAGTTCAATCCATTATACTGCATTCTAGCTAAATTCTGCACACTTCCAACTGCACAAGTCTGGAGTAACTCCATTGATTTCAGAGCATTTACCCCAGATATACTGCATACCAGAACAAATGGGCTGTAAAACTATAACTGAGGGCACAACTTTGTCCCCTGTGTTTTACCACTACTTACACCTTAAAAAACAACAGCCTGGAACTACCTTCCACTACTATTAGATTCATCATATCAATTCTTCCCCATACAGACTGAGGACAACAAAATAATCTCATTATAGTATTTCAAGGAGCAAACACAGAATACTGAGGGGAAAAAATCACTCCAAAGAAGTTTAAATGGGGAATAGGTACAAGAAACTAACTTACCTTCTGCAGTGGCTAAGCACATTACAATGAACAGCAGAAGTAAAGCTGCTGTCAGAGGCTTCATGGTAAGACCTCAGGTATCTAAATAGATGTGTCAGAGAGCTCACTTATATAATCGGATTGCTCTTCTTGCTTCTGGTCTTTGAGCAGATTCACTGATTCAGTGGCTTGATGTTGCCAGGGCAGGAACTTGGAGAACGTCTGGATTCCTTTCTCTTGCTGCTGCTGCTGCCTTGTCAGTTTTAGCTCTCTGTCTGAGCTGCCTCTGCCTCTTTCCTCCTCCTGTCCTCTTTTAAAACAGCTCCTGCTGCCCTTCCTGCGAACTCATTAATATGCAGAGCGACTCAACTCACTGCAATTTCTCAACACAAGGGAGGGTGGGGATGGAAGTGATCCTAGCGAGGAGATCGGATGGGTTTATTCTAGAGAAGAGAAAAGGAAAGGGGGAAAAAATCATTCATTAAATCTAGGAAAAGGGGGAGGAAGATGCGGAAATCAGGTTCTTTATGCATTTGCCAGGTATTTTTGACTGGTTTTGCAGGTGGCCTGAGCAAACTTGTGCGGGGTTCTCAAAGAATTGAGATGTTGGCTCCATTCTGCATGTGGTGGATGCAATTGTCTGAAGGGAGTCGCATTGGTCTGAGCTATATTTTGAGATTGTTTCTAAGCAATGAAGGAGCTAGAGAAATGACAGCTTTCCTGGGAAATTCCCCTTGGCAATGGAAATAAAGCTCAGAATAAAACGATTCTGGGAAATTTCACCTGGTGAGAAATCTTGCTAGGTTTTTTTAATTTAAAGTTCTTCAACTTTACCAGCCTTCCAAATTTAAGTGAGCTTCTGTGAATTAAATGGACAAAATTGTCCCTGTGGGGGTTAGCACAGAGAGTGTTTCTGGTAGCAAGGTTTATTAGAGGAGCAATTTATTGCTTTTAAGGTGTATTTGAGCAATTTGTTCTCTCTCTCCTCCATATTTCTCTTTCAGGATCAGTTTCTGATCTCAGTTCCACCTCTCTGAATCTGGAATAACTCCTTTAAAATGAACAGGATAACTCCAGATTTATGCCCGTGTAAATGGGATGTTGTAAGATCAGAGTCAGGCCCGCAGTCTCTCTGTTAGTACTATATTTTAAATCAATAGTACTAGGAGTAGTAGTGAATGCTTCTCCTATTCCTCTGTTAATCTTGGTCATTCACTGCAGACTTCCTGTGACTGCACAAGCCACACATACACCTTTCCCTCCTTGTTTTATATACGTTTATTCACCCGTTTATAGGACACCTATCATAAGGTTACTGAGTGCTGTACAACAAAAGCCAACATGTTAATATTAATTATAGCCTTTAACCATAACCATTATTACTAACACCAATCCAAACCAGCTGAAATCCCTATCCACCCAGTCACTTGTGAATAACAACCCCGATTTCAAACCCACATATTCCTAAATCTGATGCGTTCCCATTCCATATTAAGTTTTCTACAGCATTGTTATTCTTGTGTCCCTCGTTTTGAGCTTCCATCCTGTCCTGTGTTTCATGCTCGGGCGTTGGCAGGTTGAGGAGTACATGCATACCACACACATACAGCACGTTGAGCACAAGCTCATGATGCAGTTGTTTTGTTCTGCATGTTGCCTTTCATGTGAGATGTGCTGACATGCCTGGAACATTCTGAGTCTCCTGCAGGCTTGCTAATGCAAATATGTGTTAATATTTCCTTTCTGAGAGACGTGCTGCTCGTGTACAATGGACAACGGGTGTGTGTGTATGTGTGTGTTAGAGAGAGAAAGAGAGAGAGAGAGAGCACAGGCTGAGCAGCATGGCAATGAACTTGCCAGATGAAGCACACAAGTTTTGCTGGGCTTGTTTGCTACAGCTCACACAACTAGTAAATTCTTTGCTGCAGCTTTAATAAACAGGGCTTTGAAAAGCCCCAAACAAGGAAGCTTCTGCAGGACAGTGATAAAATTTGAGGGAAATTCTTGAGCTCCCCCAAATTAGGGGATCTCCTGATCTTGTATGACTTCTGGTGGGGTTGTTGTCGAGAAAGCTGTTGGTTCCCATCAAGTAAAGCACCTCCCTGCTCTGGTCCTGCTTCCTGGGGAGAAATTGGGCTTCTTATTGTTGAGGGGATTGCCACAAGCCAAGCGGTGCCTTATCAATGTGCGTAAGGCCAGCTTTGCTAATATCTATCTGAGGTAGTTCTAAGGAGCCTCTTGCCTTGTGTAACAGAGTGGGTTGGCCCTTTTCGGCTGGTGAGGGAAGGCATGAGGCCAGAACCTCTCTGTTCTGGAAGTTCATGATAAAGGCAGCCACCGAGGAGAAAGATGTCTTGACAAGGAAGTTTGGGAAGCAAATCTGAACTGTTGCCTTTCTTCAGAGCCTAAAATCAGAACTTCAAAGTGCAGGGTGGACCAAAGATTCCCCTCTCTTCTCAATGCTGGAGAGGAGATGCTTGTGATCTGAGAAGTGTAGGCCACCACAGCTTCCTCTTCTTATACCAGGAAGGGATTGGGAAGAAAAGAGTTTCTCCAGGGGAAACGGAGAACTGGGATTCCCCAGAGACTTGTCACAGATCTCTGGGGAAAATGTGTGATCACAGAGACCCTTGAGAATTAGCACCCTGAGAAGGGGAGAACCTTTTTATTCCCCTTTTATTGGACTTCGACAGTGATCATCTGGGGGAAGTCTGTGACCCCAGAGAGCCTGAGGACAAGTACCATGGGAAGGACAACTCATTCTTTATTGGGCTTTGCCAAAGGGGAAAAAAAGAGGAATAAGTCACCTCTTAGGGGTTATTTTTGAAAAGACTCAATGTGTGTGGTGTTGTGTGGATGGTGACCTGCCATGCTCTGCATCCTAATAAAGTGGGGTAAAGAGCTCCAGAACTATTCCTTTAGATTTGGTTGCTTTGTGCAAGCAAATACCAAACTGATTATGAAAACATGTTGATGGAGTTTTAATCTATCTGCAGTGTGTGTCTCTGAAAGGGCTGGTGAGACTCAGTGAATATATACATTTTAATGCACAGATGGTGACAAACACTTTGTTATATAGGCTGTTATGGTGCCTTTTACAGAACCAGGGACAAAGTCTGCCACCACTCCATAAGGAAAGGGTTCTGTCCTGTGCGAGCCAGAACCAGTCACTTGTTGCTACAGTGGTTCCTCGGCCATGGAGCAAGATGTGTTTCCTAGAATTTTTTGGTAGCCTCCATATGGAGAATCAGGGAGAGTGGCTGTCCGCAGGAGAGACGTCTGAGTTCAGAGCACAAACAGCTAGTGCGCTTCCCATCACTAAAAACCTGCAGAGAATTATCCTGCCATCTTGAGTACCTTCTTCCATGATTTCTGCTCCCCGGAGGCTGAGGGGGGCTCAAAGCATTCCTTTCGACACCCCAGGCCATCACAAACAGCTGATCAAGTATAAATGGTTTTTTTGGCACCCTAAGCGGGGAATATCACATAATAACTCACATCGTAATTAACAAGGGCTATCTAGTGCCCTCCATTCCACGTATGTGACTTCCATTAACATCTGTGAGACATGTTTAGACAGCAGCACATGTCCCCAAGGGAGAGCAGCAATATCTTTACTGGTAGCATATTACAGTCTCCGATTAGCTAATTAGAAGGACATTGTCACTGATGACAGGTCCGACATTTAATCTAATTAACTATTCTTTTCAATTATTCTTTCCAGTGCCCTAGCCCAGCATAAAACTCCCTGGCAAACTGCAGAGAGGGCCTGGCTTAGTGCCTGCTGGTGAAAAGAGAGCCACTGAACAGGCCAACCACAGCTTGCCCACAGAGGCTTGGTGAATTGCATCAGGGGGCTCACAACAGTAGGCCGGATCCTCAGACTGATGGGAGGGCTGCTCACTAGGAATGCACAGTAGCTGCTTTAGAAGCAGCTAGCAGGCTAATGGGGCTTTCAGGGAAGAGCGCACCCAACAATCAATGGAGTCAACCAGCTGGCATCAAAGCAGCTATTTAAAGAAAATCCTTAGGAGAGAAAACACTACCCACCCCCTCCATAAAGACTTTAGTCTTCCCCACTGCTAATACCCTATGCAAATACCTGCACACTGGGCCAAATTTTGCTCAGGTCGTTGAAGCTAAATTCATTTAAGTTAGTGTAGCTGGTGGAGCGAAGCCAGGCCCTACACTCAACTTGATGGCATTTCTCTCCCGGTCTTGTCTATAACGTGATCACTTTTGAAAACTGTGACCGATCAATTCCAAAATTTCAGGGAATGTTCTAGGCATCAGTGGGCAGAACCTTATTGATTTGGGTGAAAAACAGGAAAACCTGATTGACACTGAAATCACTATTGGGTCGCAGAGGGTATGTCTACACTGCAATTGAAAACTCGCGGCTGGCCCGTGCCAGGCCAGCTGAGTCGGGTTTGCGGGGCTTGGGCGGCAGGGCTACTTCATTATCGTGTAGACTTCCAGGCTGGGGCTGGTGCTCAGGCGGTAGGACCCTGCGGGATGGGAAGGTGTCAGAGCTCGGGCTCCTGCCTGAGCCCAGAAACCTACACTGCAATTAAACATCCCCGCAGCTCCAGCCTGCGGAGCCCAGTCACTTGGCACGGGTCAGCTGTGGGTGTCTAATTGCAGTGTAGACATCCCCTCAGGATACACAGTGAGCAGTGACCTGGAGCAGGGGAGCTGAGTCACTCTGGATGCAGAGGTGTGGCAGTGACCTTGGGGTAGGGTTTGGGTTTAGGGGTAAGAAGAGGGTTAGTGGACCCCTCACCCCACTTTGGCCAAGCTTCTCTCTCCCTCCTAGCTGGGTTCCTTGCCTGCCCAGGTCCCCTCAGACGGGCAGGCTGGAGTGGGGATGAGGGGCTTAGCTGTGTGTACAGTTTGTCCTACATACGCAATGAAGTGAGCAACCCTCTAGTTGCTCTAGGGCTTTCATCAGTATAATTGAGAGCGGAATCTATCCCAGTGGCTGAGAATATTTCCCTTCTCCATAAATCTGCAAATCACTCCATTTAGTGACATTGGTTTAAAGATACTAATACTAATCCTGCATGCAAAACTTTGCACCTGCTAGTCTGGCTTCACACACATGCACATGTATTTAAAGATACAAGAGGGAAATGGATTTCAGAGGAGTCTACCTCTGATGTAGTCCATTGACTTTACAATTGAGGCATGGGTATGTTTTTTACCCTCCTGATTGCTGCTCACCATAACTTAGCGAGAAGGATCTAACTGGACTAAGCCCACCCCGTTCCCCATCTCCACCTGCAACGTGCCCCTTTCTCTAACTACCCACTTGGTAGAAACTTGGTGAGGGGATAGAAGACATGAGGTCTGGATAGGTACTCTGGAACTGGCTGGGTAGCACTGGCAGAACTGCATTGTGAATAGACCACTTACGTGCTTGGTGGGGTACTTAATCGCTTTGCTAAGTGGCTCAGGTTAGCTGTACCTCTGAGCAGGATTTGGCCCCAAGTGCCCTGTGAAAATTTAGCCTATTTTTAATTAAGAGGCAGGGCCGGCTCC